ACAGGACTAACACAGCAAAGATCCGTGTTGATGGCAGCGCCCACGTGCTATGCCCGAATCATGTCTCTGAAAGCTGTGTGCGAACCGGCCAAGTGGGCAGCGAGTGTGAATCCTATAACTCCGCGCGGAGAAAAGCTCTCTGGCAAGCACCACCAGAACTGCACAAGCGGCCGAGTAGCGTTGGGTATGGCAATGGTCAACGCACTGCCATGTGGCACCAACATTACAATCTACATTGTGGTCTCATGTTCGAGACATCTGCATTTCTGGCGTCTGGGACTTACAACTGCGATAGCATGACATGCGATATGCTATGGAGACAATTTCATTCGAGCGCAGGTCTTTGAATGGTCATGAGAGTCATTGCACTCGATGCGTTGGCATCATCGACGCAAACACAAACGCAGGCTGACACACACAGTGAGCACAAAACGCGTACCGTCGTAATGACCCTGGCAGCCTAACAGACAGCAGCATTGTACTATATTCAGTAAGCAGTTACGCGCCCCAATAGTAATGTTTTCACGTACCTCAATTATTTGAACGAACGTAGCGTTTGCAGTACCTCACCATGCAAGTCCTGTCCAGCACCGTCCTGCTCACCACTAAGCGTGATGCTTGGAGTAGATCGGCCAACTCCAGCAAACCCTGGCACCAGTCCAGAGGGCTAGCTGGGAATCTTGCCTTCGCCTCGGTCCAAACCACCACCACAGTTGCCAGCCAACACACAACACCAGTATTGTGATCGCTACGTGGTCTCTGCCCACTCACTTCACTTCCCTAGCCGAAACGATCGAGCTCGAAATTTTCAAAAGACAGAGATTGGTCTGGAACGGTCCGTAGCAGTATCAGTGTGCAACGGGTCAATGGAGGTTGGCAAAGCTTGGAAACGGCAGTGCAGCCACGCGCCAACTGTGACCTCTTGGCCGCGAGTACAGCTCCAGGACGTGGACAGGTGTTTAGAGTCTGCGTTTTCTCCAGCTCAAACCAGGATCCAGGATTCGTCAGCGTGGCACGAGCGCGAGCGAGCACTCGGGCGTGAATGACCGCGTACTCTGCTGCTTCTGCTTCGCGACTGCTTCTGCTTCGTGCTCTGGCATGTACATCACGGTACATGGCCATATGGATGTAGTACGCCTTGCTCTGTCCGGAAGGAATCACCAGGAATAATTTGTTTGCACTGTGATCAACGTGTGATCGCGGGGTATTTTTTCTCCACATTCTTGACAGCAAACCACCATGAGTCCAAGACCATGTACCAAAGATTTACATGTACTGCTACATGTAGTACTACTGGAGTCTGGAGTCTTTCTGTGCAGATCAAGGAAATGCACGGTCGGACGATACTATTACTTGACATGGTTAGCATTTTACCGTTCACACTATTTTCGGCGGTAGGCCTGCACCGTTTTTTGTGTGTGTAGACATGGCATTTTACAGTTCACGCGCTAGATCCAACGGTACTCGTATCCCAAACCCAAAATACCGTCGGTTTGGTACCGTTTCGACGATAGAAAGCTCTTTTTAGCGGGAGAACGAAACGGTAAGATTCCAACTAGGGTTACCTCACACGTCTATCGTTGCGTCAGGAGTCAGGACTCAGAAGCCGAACTGCTAACCGTGTCTCGAAAACACATCAAAAACAGTAGACTCGCCCTCTACACGCCGACCGTCGAAATAGCGTGAACGGTAAAATGCTAACCATGTCTATGTACTAGTCGATAGCGTAGATTTCTACACCTCCTTGCTACGCAGTTACCATGGTTACGTAAGTACCGGTACGCGAAGGACTAAAGCGGGACCGTCACTTAATTTTTGCCGACTACCCGCCAAAAAAAACCTTTTCGTTTCACGTGTCAGACACGTCCGCGAGCGCGTACGATCGACTCGCGCCGAGTCGCGCGCGCCCGCGCTACCTTTCACGTCAGGCTATCTGTTCTCGCCACATGGCTGGATAGCGCGTACATGCAAACATGATTGAAGACTTGCAAAATCAATTTTTTTCCAAGTCCAGGCGCTAGGCCTAGGCAGCACTAATCAGTCTAATGCCTAATGCCCAGGCAGCTGACTTTATTTTCGGAGAAACACTACTCATTGTAGTAAAAAGTAACAATGAATAGCGATATCATCTAGGAAGGATCGCTACCCTAACGCGAAGGAAAGGCCTTGCGCGGCTGCTCTACGAAGTGTTGAAGAAAGACTCATCAAAGTTTAACAGTTGGTGGACGAACAACTCGCTGGCGCCGGAAAACTTGGCCCCCAACGATGGTATTTGGTGAATCATCAAGCATGATGTCTTGTAGCAGTGTTCACCGAGGAAGGAGAACGCTCTAGTCGCTGCTGTTGTCCGTTTCATCCACGTTGGGCGTTAGCTGCAGCCAGCGCCCCGTGGCTGCTTGACTTCTCAATCGATATAAATATTCACAACAGTAAGACTCTGTGATCAATCAGAGCTGTGCTTCGAAGTAGTCACAAATGCCCCATGATCAGTCACAAAACAAAACTCGGCAACCAGTCACAGCTTCCACGGTGCCCCAAGACCAGTCACCAGAAATGACCGTAGTAAATCTGCAGGGAGTTTCATAATCTGTTCATTGCAGAGTCCACTATGCTATGATTCAAGAGGGGGGTAGCGTTCCTGCGGATGCGGAAAACTTGGCTGGAGCCCGAGTGTCACGTGAACCCTGATTTTTAAGACTTATTATTTGTTTTTCGATGAGCCTATTATACGCGATACAGGCTCAGAACACACTTTTCGTCTAGTTGGCATATCAGGGATATAGGGCGGAGCAGCCCATATCCCCAATTATGACACGCGAGTAATAGTGAACTACGATTGGCGTATTGTGCTGGACTGACTGCGGTAATGTAAAGCTAAAATAAAGCAGTCAGTTTGCCCTTAGCATGGCCTTGTCATGAGGGTGCCACATCCGTGGAAAGACAACATGCCGGCTAATCTCCCTGAGAAGTTGAGTGGTTATCAGCAGGCGATAACGCTGTGTCGATGATGACCTGTTGATGCCCGACAGGAACCTTGCGAGGAGAGTCATTGGGCCTGACGGGTAGGTAAAGCCAACTTCAACATGAAGTTTGCGGATGGCCGACATGTAGACATGGACAGATCGGGGCTGAAAAGTTCTGAACAACTCGGCAGCAAAATAACACATAAAGTAAAAAGTCATCACCTGGCAATGGATTCCAGTCATGCCCTTGACAGAACTGGAAGTAACGGGTATCGGCGGAAAAATATTTCCGGCTGGTGCCAGTGCTGCTAGCTGCAGCACGGAGTCCGGCAACTTATAGTTGGCAAGACTGGCTGATCTGGCTCAGCTGCTGCTTCCGGAGCCCTCAATGGTTCAAACACCATCGGCGCAGGCCACGTTTTTCGGCACCGACGATTTGTTCGTCCACCAAAAGTCGAAACAAATGTTTCTCACTTGAACACTTCGTAGAGCTGCCGCTGTTGTGCCAAGGCCCATTGGCGCATGGTGTGTATACTCCAAACCTACATGTATGATGATGGGTCACTGCTGACGTTTCTGCTCTTGGACAGTGCAACGCCGCATGAAGATATGTTGTGGCTCCACAATCGCTGAGAACGCTAGTGTGCGTCCATGGAATACTAAAACACAATAGGCGCGGCGCAGCTAACGCCCACTTGGATGACTCGGAGTGGTGGCGAGTGCATTCTCCTTCCTCGGTGAACACTGCTGGTCACCCTGTTTGATGATCCACCAAACACCGTCGGTGCAGGCCGCGTTTTTCGGAACCAGCCATTTATTCGTCCACCAACAATTGAAATTAATGTTTCTCACTTGAACACTCTGTAGAGCTGTCGCTGTCGTGACAAGGCCGTGTATACTCCAAGTCAGAGAATTTAGTCTACATGTAGGATGAAGAGTAACAGTTACTGCTGATAATGAAGTTTGCGCTCGTGGACAATACAACGCTGTGTGAAGTAAATTGTGGCTCCACAATCGCTCGGAATGCTAATGTGTGTCCATGGAATACTAAAACACAATAGGCGCGGTGCAGCTAACGCCCAACGTGGATGAAACGGACAACAGCAGCGGCTAGAGCGTTCTCCTTCCTCGGTGAACACTGCTACAAGACATTATGCTTGATGATTCACCAAAATACCATCGTTGGGGGCCAAGTTTTCCAGCGCCAGCGAGTTGTTCGTCCACCAACTATTAAACTTTGATGAGTCTTTCTTCAACACTTCGTAGAGCAGCCGCACAAGGCCTTTCCTTCGCGTTAGGGTAGCGATCCTTCCTAGATGATATCGCTATTCATTGTTACTTTTTACTACAATGAGTAGTGTTTCTCCGAAAATAAAGTCAGCTGCCTGGGCATTACTTGCCATTAGGCATTAGACTGATTAGTGCTGCTGTAGGCCTAGCGCCTGGACTTGGAAAAAAATTGATTTTGCAAGTCTTCTATCATGTTTGCATGTACGCGCTAGCGCTATCCAGCCATGTGGCGTGAACAGATTGCCTGACGTGAAAGGTAGCGCGGGCGCGCGCGAGTCGATCGTACGCGCTCGCGGACGTGTCTGACACGTGAAACGAAAAGATTTTTTTGGCGGGTAGTCGGCAAAAATTAAGTGACGGTCCCTTTAGTCCTTCGCGTACCGGTACATATCTCGCGCTGTACACATGGTACAGGCAATCGACATCGCGCCACCGTTCCGCGTCACGCGCATGTGTGATCCGTCATGTACATGTAGATCTGCATCCATTGCATCATTCATTACACTTACCGTCTGCCTGGTCCACTACA